TCCTCTGCACTGTCGCTGTACGGTCCATTGGAGATGGAGATCACGATGCTGTTTTCGGAGCTGTCCGTGTCCAGTCCATCAGGGATGGAGATTGAGAAGCTGTCTTCTGCACTGTCGGTGTAACGTCCTTTGGGGATGTAGATCGCGATGCTGTGCTCGGAGCTGTCCATGTCATGTCCATCAGGGAAGGAGATTGAGACGCTCTCCTCTGCACTGTCGCTGTACGGTCCAACGGAGATGGAGATAGCGATGCTGTCCTCTGAGCTCTCCGTGTCCAGGCCATAAGGAATGGAGATTGACACGCTGTCCTCTGCACTGTTGCTGTACGGTCCAGCAGAGATGGAATTTGCGATGATGTCCTCTGAGCTGTCCGTGTCCAGTCCATCAGGGATGGAGATTGAGACGCTGTCCTCTGCACTGTCGCTGTAACATCCTTTTTGGATGGAGATCGCGATGCTGTCCACGGAGCTGTACGTGTCCAGTCCAAAATGGATGGAAATTGAGACAGTGTCTTCTGCACTCTCGCTGTATGGTCTAGCAGAGATGGAAATAGCGATGATATCCTCGGAGGTCTCCGTGTCCAGTCCATGAGGGATGGAGATTGAGACGCTGTCGTCTGCACCATCGCTGCACTGCCCCTCAGAGATGGAGATCGCGATGCTGCCCTGAGAGCTGTCTGTGTCCAGTCCATCATGGATGGAGATTGAGACGCTGTCCTCTGCATTGTTGCTGTATGGTCCATCTGAGACAGAGATCTTCATGCTGTTCTCAGAGTTGTCCTTCTCCCGTCCATCAGGGATGGTGATTGAGACGCTGTCCTCTGCACTGTTGCTGTAATATCCTTTGGAGATGGAGATCGTGATGATGTCCTCCGAGCTGTCCATGTCCCGTCCATCCTGGATGAAGAGTGAGACGCTGTCGTCTGCAGTGTTGCTGTACGGTCCATCGGGGATAGAGATGGCGATGCCGTCCTTGGAGCTGTCCGTGTCCAGTCCATCAGGGATGGAGATTGAGACACTGTCCTCTGTACTGTCGCTGTACGGTCCATGAGAGATGGAAATAGCGATGCTGTCCTCGGAGCTGTCCATGTCTAGTCCATCAGGGATGGAGAATCAGACACTGTCCTCTGCACTGTCGTTGTAAGGTCCTTTGGGGATGGAGATCGTGATGATGTCCTCAGAGCTGTCCGTGTACACTCCTTTAGGGATGGATATTGAGACGCTATCCTCTGCACTATCCCTGTAAGGTCCTTTGGGGATGGAGAACGCGATGATGTCCTCGGAGCTGTCCGTGTCCAGTCAGTCAGGGATGGAGATTGAGACGCTGTCGTTTGTACTCTCGCTGTACGGTCCATGAGAGATGGAAATTGGGATGCTGTCCTCAGAGCTGTCCGTGTCCAGTCGATCAGGGATGAAGATTGAGATGCTGTCCTCTGTACTCTCGCTGTACGGTCCATTAGAGCTAGAAATCACGATACTATACTCTCAGCTGTCCGTGTCCAGTCCATCAGGGATGGAGATTGAGACGCTGTCTTCTGCACTGCAGTTGTATGGTCCTTTGGGGATGCAGATCGCGATGGTGTCCTCGAAGGGGTCCATATCCAGTCCATCAGGGTTGGAGATCGAGACACTGTCCTCTGCACTGTCGCTGTAAGATCCTTGTGGATGTACATCACGATGCTCTCCTTGGAGCTGTCCGTGTCCAGTCAATCAGGGATGGAGATTGATACGCTGTCCTCTGCACTGTCACTGTATGGTCCAATGGAGATGGAGATATCAATGCTGTACTCGGAGCTATCCATGTCCAGTCCATCAGGGATGGATATTGAGATGCTGTCCTCTGCATTGTCGCTGTACGGTCCATCCGAGATGGAAATTGCGATGCTGTCCTCAGAGCTGTCCATGTCTAGTCCATCAGTGTTCGAGATTGAGACGCTGTCCTCTGCCCTGTAGCTGCATGGTCCTTTCGGGATGCAGACTGCAATGCTCTCCTCGAAGCTGTCCATGTCCAGTCCATCCGGGTTGGAGATCGAGACGCTGTCCTCTGCACTATCCCTGTAAGGTCCTTTGGGGATGGAGACCGCGATGATGTACTCGCAGCTGTCCGTGTCCAGTCCATCAGGGATGGAGATTGAGACGCTATCCTCTGTACTCTCGCTGTACGGTCCATGAGAGATGGAAATCGCGACGCTGTGCTCGGAGCTGTCCGTGTCTACTCCATCAGGGATGGAGATTGAGATGCTCTCCTCTGAACTTTCATGGTAAGGTCCTTTGGGGATGGAGATCACGATGCTGTCCTCGGAGCTGTCCGTGTGCAGGTCATCAGGGATGGAGATTGAGACGCTATCCTCTGCACTATCTCTGGAAGGTCCTTTGGGGATGGAGAAAGCGATGCTGTCCTCGGAGCTGTCCGTGTCCAGTTCATCAGGGATGGAGATTGAGACGCTGTCCTAGTCCTCTCGCTGTACGGCCCATTAGAGATGGAAATCGCAACACTGTCCTCGGAGCTGTCCGTGTCCAGTCCATGAGTAATGGAGATTAAGGCACTGACGTCTGCACTGTCGCTGTAAGGTCCTTTTGGATGGAGATCGTGATGCTGTCCACAGAGCTGTCCGTGTCCAGTCCAGCAGGGATGGGAATTGAGACGCTGTCCTCTGCACTCTTGCTGAACGGTCCATCAGAGATGGAAATCGCGATGACGTCCTCAGAGCTGTCAGTGTCCAGTCCATGAGGGATGGAGATTGAGATGCTGTCCTCTGCACTGTTGCTGCTTGGTTCATCTGAGATGGAGATCTTGATGCTGTTCTCAGAGCTCTCCTTGTCCGGTCCATCAGGGATGGTGATTGAGACGCTGTCCTCTGCAGTGTCGCTGAAACGTCCTTTGGGGATTGAGATCGCGATGCTGTCCTAGGAGCTGTCCATCTCCCGTCCATCATGGATGAAGAGTGAGACGCTGTCCTCTGAAGTGTTGGTGTACGGTCCACCGGGGATGGAGATAGCGATGCTGTCCTTGGAGCTGTCCATGTCCAGTCCATCAGGGATGGAGATTGACACGCTGTCCTCTGCACTCTCGCTGTACGGTCCATGAGAGATGGAAATCGCAATGCTCTCCTTGGAGGTGTCCATGTCCACTCCATGAGGGATGGAGATTGAGACGCTGTCCTCTGCACTGTCGCTGTAAGGTCCTTGTGGATGTAGATCGTGATGCTGTCCTTCGAGCTGTCCTTTTCCAGTCCATCAGGGATTGAGATTGAGACACTATCCTCTGCACTGGTGCTGTACGGTCCATCGGATATGGAGATCTCGAAGCTCTTCTCCGAGCTGTCTGTGTGCAGTCCAGCAGGGATGGAGAGTGAGACACTGTCCCGTGCGCTGTCACTGTATGGTCCATCGGAGACGGCGATCTCGATGCTGTCCTCGGAGCTGTCCTTTTCCAGTCCATCAGGGATTGAGATTGAGACGCTCTCCTCAGTACTGTTGGTGTAAGGTCCATCAGGGATGGAGATCGCAATGCAGTCCTCAGAACTTTCCGTGTCCAGTCCATCAGGAATGCAGATTGAGATGCTATCCTCTGCATTGTCGCTGTAACGTCCTTTGGGGATGTAGATTGCGATGCTGTCCTCAGAGCTGTCGGTGTCCAGTCCATCAGGGATGGAGATTGAGATGCTGTGCTCTGCACTGTCTGCGTAAGTTCCTTTCGGGATGGAGATCACGATGCTGTCCTCGGAGCTTTCTGTGTAGCGTCCATCAAGGATGGAGATTGATACGCTGTCATCTGCACTGTCGCTGTACGGTCCATTGGATATAGAGATCGCATTGCTTTCTTCCCAACTGTCCGTGTCCACGCCATGAGGAATGGAGATTGACATGCTGTCCTCTGCACTGTCGCTGTAAGGTCCTTTTCAGATGGAGATCACCTTACTGTCCATGGAGCTGTCCGTGTCCAGTCCAGAAGGGATGGAAATTGAGATGCTGTCCTCTGCACTCTCGCTGTACGGTCCAGCAGAGATGGCAATCACGATGATGTCCTTGGAGCTGTCAGTGTCCAGTCCATGAGGGATGGAGATTGAGACGCTGTCGTCTGCACCGTCGCTGTACTGTCCCTCGGAGATGGAGATCGCGATGCTGTCCTCAGAGCTGTCTCTGTCCAGTCCATCAGGGATGGAGATTGAGACGCAGCCCTCTGCACTGTTGCTGTACAGTCCATCTGAGATGGAGATCTTCATGCTGTTCTCAGAGCTGTCCTTCTCTGGTCCATCAGGGATGGGGGTTGAGATGCTGTCCTCTGCACTGTTGCTGTAACGTCCTTTGGGGATGGAGATCATGATGCTGTCCTCGGAGTGGTCCATGTCCCATCCATCATGGATGAAGAGTGAGACGCTGTCCTCTGCAGTGTCGCTGTACGGTCCATCGGGGATGGAGATGGCGATGCTGTCTTCGGAGCTGTCCGTGTCCAGTCCATCAGGGATGGAGATTGAGAAGCTGTCCTATGTACTCTCGATGTACGTTCCATGAGAGATGGAAATCGCGATGCTGTCCTCGGAGCTGTCCATGTCTGGTCCATGAGGAATGGAGATTGAGACGCTGTCCTCTGCACTGTCGATGTAAGGTCCTTTGGGGATGGAAATCGCGATGCTTTCCTCGGAGCTGTTCATGTACACTCCTATAGGGATGGATGTTGAGACACTATCCTCTGCACCATCCCTGTAAGGTCCTTGGGAGATGGAGAACGCAATGCTGTCCTCGGAGATGTCCGTGTCCAGTCCATCAGGGATGGTGATTGAGAAGCTGTCCTCTGCACTGTCGCTGTATAGTCCATCGGAGATGGCGATCGCGATGCTGTCCTCGGAGCTGTCTGTGTCTAGTCCATCAGGGATGGAGATTGAGACGCTATCCTCTGCACTACCCCTGTAAGGTCCTTTGGGGATGGAGACCGCGATGCTGTCCTCAGAGCTGTCTGTGTTCAGTCCATCAGGGATGGAGATTGAGACGCTGTCCTCTGTACTCTCGCTGTACGGTCCATGAGAGATGGAAATCGCGACGCTGTCCTCGGAGCTGTCCATGTCTAGTCCATCAGGGATGAAGATTGAGATGCTGTCCTCTGTACTGTCACTGTACAGTCCATCAGAGGTGGAAATCGCGATACTCTCCTCAGAGCTGTCCGTGTCCAGTCCATCAGGGATGGAGATTGAGACGCTATCCTCTGCACTATCCCTGAAAGGTCCTTTGGGGATGGAGACCGCGATGCTCTCCTCGGAGCTGTCCATGTCCAGTCCATCAGGGATGGAGATTGAGATGCTGTCCTCTGTACTCTCGCTGTATGGTCCATGAGAGATGGAAATCGCGATGCTGTCCTCGGAGCTGTCCATGTCTGGTCCATGAGGAATGGAGATTGAGATTCTGTCCTCTGCACTGTCGTTGTAAGGTCCTTTGGTGATGGAGATCGCGATGCTGTCCTCAGAGCTGTCCGTGTACACTCCTTCAGGGATGGACATTGAGACGCTATCCTCTGCACTATCCCTGTAAGGTTCTTAGGGCATGGAGAACGCAATGCTGTCCTTGGAGCTGTCCGTGTCCAGTTCATCAGGGATGGAGATTGAGACACTGTCCTCTGTCCTCTCACTGTACAGTCCATGAGAGATGGAAATCGCGATGCTGTGCTAGGAGCTGTCCGTGTCCAGTCCTTCAGGGATGGAGATTGAGACGCTCTCCTCTGTACTCTCGCTCTACAGTCGATGAGAGATGGAATTCGCGATGCTGTCCTCGGAGCTGTCTGTGTCCAGTCCATCAGGGAAGGAGATTGAAATGCTGTCCTCTGCACTGCAGGTGTATGGTCCTTTGGGGATGCAGATCGCGATGCTGTCCTTGAAGCTGTCCATGTCCAGTCCATCAGAGATGGAGATTGAGACGCTGTCCTCTGCACTGTTGCTATAAGGTCCTTGTGGATGTAGATCGCGATGGTCTCCTTGGAGCTGTCCATGTCCACTTCATCAGGGATGGAGATTGATACGCTGTCCTCTGCACTGTTGTTGTAAGGTCCATTGGAGATGGAGATCTCAATGCTCTTCCCGGAGCTGTCCGTGTCCAGTACATCAGGGATGGAGATTGAGATGCTGTCCTCTGCACTGTCGCTGTACGGTCCATCCGAGATGGAGACCGTGATGCTGTCCTCGGAGCTGTCTGTGTCTAGTCCATCAGGGATGGAGAATGAGACGCTGTCCTCTGCACTGTAGCTGCATGGTCCTTTGGGGAGGTAGATCGCAATGCTGTCCTCGAAGCTGTCCATGTCCAGTCCATCCAGGATGGAGATTGATATGCTGTCCTCTGTAGTGTCGCTGTAAGGTCCTTTGGGGATTGAGACTGCGATGCTATCCTCGGAGCTGTCTGTGTCCAGTCCATCAGGGATGGAGATTGAGACGCTGTCCTCTGTGCTCTCGCTGTACGGTCCATG